AGGGGCGCCTGGGTGGCTCAGTGGGTTAAGCCTCTGCCTTTGGCTCAGGTCATGGGCTCAGGGTCCTGGGATCGAGCCCTACATCGGGCTCTCTGCTCAGCGGGGAGTCTGTTTCTCCCTCCCTCTCTGCCTGCCTCTCTGCCTACCTGTGATCTCTGTCTGTCAAATAAATAATTAAAATATATTTTTAAAGATTTTATTTATTTATTTGACAGAGAGAGAGATCACAAGTAGGCAGAGAGGTGGGGGGGCTGTGGGGGAAAGGAGGTTCCCTACTGAGCAGAGAGCCCAATGCAGGACTCGATCCCAGGACCCTGGGATCATGACCTGAGCCAAAGGCAGAGGCTTAACCCACTGAGCCACCCAGGCACCCCGAGAGAACCAGCTTTTAAAGTGTGTTGTGACATTGTCTTCGGCCCATTTTCTGTGTGTGTCGCACAGGCTGACGTGTCCATGGACAGGATTCCCCGCTGCCCGGTCTGCACTGGCATCGTGAAACCCGACATCGTGTTCTTTGGGGAGGCACTTCCCCAGAGGTTCCTGCTGCATGTGGTTGATTTCCCTATGGCAGATCTGCTGCTCATCCTTGGGACCTCCTTGGAGGTTTGTCAGCAGGTCCAGAAGTGGACTGGAGTGTGTGTGTGCGTGCGTGCGTGCATGCATGTGTGTGTGTGTGTGATGGGGGGAGGCTGGAAGGATAGGGCCCAGGAGGTGGGGCAGCTGGGGATGGCACCAGGTGCTCTTGGAGCCTTCTGGCATCCTAACTTGGGAAGGCGAGGAGGGCCAGCTGGTGAGGAAGCAGAGGTATTCCTGGCCTAGGGAGCGGCAGTCTGGGCAGAATGGGGAGGAGGGAGGACACTCAGCTTTGGGGGTGCTGTCAGTGTGGGTGGGGCACCATGTGTGAGCAGAAGGGAGAAGGGAGGGCTGTGGAGGGGTAGGGCAGGACAGACTTCCCAGGCCATGTCGCAGAGGCCGATTTTGTGCTAGAAACATTGATGGACTTGAAGGGGTTGAACTGGGGACATGGCTGGTGCCCTGCAGTGTCCCAGAGACTCTTGGAGAGTGGGGCTTGAAGCAAGATGTCCAGGAGGCTGGTGCTCACGAAGTCAGAGCTATGGGCACATTCAGACCACGTGACTATGAGAGAGGGCAAGCAGAAGGACTTGGGGACAGGAGAGGGAGTGGTTTGGCTCTGTCTGTGGGCACTCAGGCCATTGGTTGGTAAGGAGGTATGTGAGGAGGGTGCTGAGCTCAGTTCTGCACGTGTGTATGAGGTGCCTGGACACCCATGGACACATTCCAGAAGCTGTTCTCCATCTGGACCTGAAGCTCAGGACTTTGTGAAGGACGTCACAAGAGCAATAAATGAGCCTCTGCACCGAGCTCTACCTGACTGGATGTCAGCACCACAGGGCACCAGGGCCAGGAAGGCCTGTGCTCAGACCTCCCACCAGCCCAGAGGCCTCGAGCCCAGTGCGTTTCTTCAGCAGATGTGCCTGCTGTGGGCCAGCCCCGTGCTAGGGCTTTGGACAGACACAGTAGGATGTCGCAAGCAAGGGATGGTGTTAGGTGGCAGTGTGACAGAGGAGAAGTGACAAGTGGGACGGGAAAGCTGGGGGGGGGGTTGTGAACTGTGTGTAATACCAGCGTGCTTGGTTCGTGTGGCCGTGTCGGGAAGGTGAGCCTGGAGCTGAGGCCAGAAGGAGGCGAATGTGTTAGCAGAGGTCCGGCAGCAGACACCACCACACAGTGGCCCGTGGCCACATGGAGTGAGTGATCGGAAGGCAGTAGGGACAAGGTCTGACCTCCTGACCCCGCGGGTACTGTGGTGGGCAGAGCTGGCAGAGACCCCACAGGTGGCAGTCCGGGCGGTGATGGCGGCTGGCCAGGGACACTGCGGAAGGCGTCAGAGCCCAGGTGTGTGAAGGGATGGTGGGTGGGAGAGCGTGGACGCCCACAGGGCTCCAGGGCTGTGACCTGAGTGAGACCGCAAGAACAGAGCTGGTTTCCTGAGAGCGAGAAGCCAAATGGGCAGGTTGGGGGAACTTGGCCCCAGACACACTGACTCGAGTGCTGTGTCAGACCTGTGATGCCCATACTGGGCCTGTATGGAAGGGGGAGCTTTGTGGGGGGCAGAGGGCTGGGGGCAGTAGTAGTTAGCGGTGGGTGGTGCGGAGTCTGGCCGCTGCCCTGTGCTGGCCACCAGCAGTGGACACTGGGACCGCCAGTCCTCTGTTTTTTAAGTGAAATGAAAATAGCCTTTTTCTCTGGTTATAAAAGTACCATATGCTCCCACATTATACAGACATAGGGAGTGAAGTAGAGGGTCCCTCCAGGTGGTTAGCTTGTCCTCACAGGCTTCTCTGCTGCACAGATGTGGGCTCTCAGCAGAGGCGGGGCAACACTGTGCGCAGAGACCTCCTTGGTCAGGTGCGGGTATGCCGTCCCCGCTGGGACCCCCGAGCAGAGTTCTTGTCTGCGGGCACCAAGGAGTCTGCGGTGTTGCTCAGACTTTATCTCCTGTGCCGTGTGGAAGAAACAGTAACACACTTGATTATAGACCAACCCTCTGGGTTCCACTGAGGGGGGTGCGTGTCAACCATAAGGTGCTTTCTGAAATCTGAAATAGTCTGAACTCTGGAACACATCTAGCCCCAAGAGTTTTAAGATGAGCGATGATGGCTGTATCACAATTTATCTAAGTAACGTTCTATTGATGGACAGCAGAAACGAATAGTGTATGGATTTTATATTCAGAATAATAGTGTAGTGAGTGGTTGTGTGGACACGTGTTTGCACATTCATGTGAGCACTTCAGTTAATACTGGGAAGTTCCTTTCCAAAAAGATAGACTGAGTGCAATGCGGCCAACCGACCCGCTGTGTAGGAGTGGCCATTTCCACGTCCTCAACAACCCAAGCGTTAGCTGTCTCTAAGGGTTTTCTTAAATCTATCTTTGAGTTTTTATCCGTCTGATTGGTTAGAAATAAATGTGTGTGTGAGAGAGGAGGGAAGAGAGAGAGAAGGAGGGAGATCTAACATTTCTGTAGTAAAGAGTGAAGTTCATCTTTTCGTGCTAACCACTGTGTTTTCTTTGGGTTACATATTTATGCCTCTTGCTCCTTTTTCATTGGGCTATTTTCTTAGTCTGTTTATAAATTAGCATATGAAGCCATAAATTATATAAAGTGTTTATAAATTAGTTTAGCAATTAGAAATATAAACTGTCACATGTTGTTAGTATGTTTGCAGTTTATGGTAATGAGGTTTAAAAGTTATTTTTCTACATCATATTTTTATGTAGATAATAATGTGATACTTGGCCTTATCTGACTTATCAGGCCTAAAAAGTTCTCTACCTTTACTTATGAAACCTAAATTCCCTTGAAGAACTGTTCTGTGTACATTTAAATCACTCATTTGAAATTTTTTCAGCGAAAGCAGGAATTGAGTATTTTCTTACCAGATAATGAGCTAGTGTCCATGCCATTTATTTCATCTGTTTCTTGTATTATTACTCGTGAGTGGAAATTTCACTTGGGAGCTGGATGAAGAAGCCCAGAGGTACCGAGTTAGGAGTCCCTGGAGGTCTGGATGTGGAGACTGTGGAGAGGTAGGGCACCCAGGAGCCCCCTGTGGGCCCAGGCCTTTGCTCCCAGGGAGCGGGAGCGGACGGGCGAGATGTTGCTGGGAGGAGACGGTGTGTGATGGGGCAGGACAGGTAAGAGTGGGTACAGGTGCTGGAGCCCAGATGCCCCTGGGCAGGGAGACCTGTGGAGGCCAGAACATGTGGGAAGCAGAAAGACATGGACCAGGGAGGCACAAGAAGGGAGGAACCCAGGCACTGAGACCGAGGAGACCACATGACTGGAAGAAGTGGTGTGTTTTCACTGTGTCCAAGGCCTCATGTCAGTCTGAGCTGCCCTTTACAAGGCTGAGGCCATGGCATGCAGTATTCTGGGGGGCTTGGAGGGTGGGCACTGTGCTTCTCACGTTTGGGCAATTTTTCAGGTAGAACCTTTTGCCAGCTTGTCTGAGGCCGTGCGGAGCTCGGTGCCCCGACTGCTCATCAACAGGGACTTGGTGGGGCCCTTTGCCTGGCGTCCTCGAGGCACAGATGTGGTCCAGCTGGGGGATGTGGTTCAAGGCGTGGAGAGGCTGGTGGAGCTTCTGGGCTGGACGGAAGAGTTGCAGGAGCTTGTCCAGCGGGAGACGGACAAGGTAGACTGTTAAGCAGGGTCCTCTGAAGAAGGGCTGTCTTCCTCACTGCCCAGGGTCTGGGAAGGGACAGGAATAGCGGATATTGGCTATCACTCCTGTCCCGGCCACTGTCTGGGGCCTTCTGTGTGCTTATGAATTGGGTGTTGTGGCTCATCATCACCGGGTGGAGATGAAGAGTCGCGGAGCAGCGACTTGGTCCAGGCGGACTGGGCGGCTCTCGCTGCAGCCTTTGGTCTCCTAATTAAAGCATCACCAGGCTCAGGTGCGGTTCTGAGATGAACTTTGAGGAGCGGAACTTGTGTGCTGGTATGGGACGAAGCCCCACCTCGGGATGCTTTCAGGAGGTGGTCAGCACAAGGGCTGCTGGCCTGGGACAACCTCCTGAGGGTAGAAAGCCAAAGACCCCTGATGCTCTCGAGGTGTCAGACCTGTTCCAAGTGAAGTTTCCTGTGAGAATCAGTTAAGCACATGTGGCCCTGGCGTGAGTGCCTCTTGTCTAAAGGAGGCAGCATTGAGTACCTCAAGTCCAGTTGTCTCCAAAAGGATCATGTGACCGGGCCCTGGGGCTGAGGTCTTGGGAAAGCTTTGCCCTTCGGCTGTGAGTGCCTCAGGGCTCAGGGCTGTTGGGTGGGGACTGACCAAAGCCCCCAGCCTCTGGCTGCAGCCTGGTTTCTTACCATGTTGAACCAAACAAGAATTTGATGCTTACTGAGGCCAGGAGGCTTTGTGCTATTTCCGCACATCTTAGACATTGTGGCCACTGGTTTTTCTGGCTCTCCTTTCCAGAATTTGGCTCTAATGGCTAAGATGTAGGCTGATATCGCTCCTTATCTCATTGTAAATATCAAAGTTCTGCTGCTGGGTGGTTTTGTGGAAGTAGACAAGGCAGGTAGCGTGGAAGCCTGTACTTTGCACATCAAAAGAAGAGGCGGAAAGTGGCTTGGTCAGTCCCGTGGCAGCTTCTCAGATCTGACATCCTTTTTCCATACAAGACTGAATCATGTGACCCCCTGGGATTTTTGGAAGCAGTCCTACAGGATTTGACCTGTGCGATTTTACAGTTTTACGGAAATTTATGTAAGATGAGTTCTGGTGTTAGGGGTTTATGTATATAATGAAAGAGCTGCTACCCAGAAGTAAATGTCGAGGGAGGAGCCGCAGTCTGTCCTGGGGTCACCTTCCCCAATAGTGCCCGTTTCTGAGCATTGAGCTTCAGCACGTCTCACCTGGCTGGCCACCTGGACTCGCCCTGCTGGCATCGTGTTACCTGGGCTCAACAGCACCATTGGCAGAGGCAGAAAAGCTTTTGTTTTATGAAATAGTTTGAACCCAGGCCCTGAGGTCTGTGGGTCTGATTCCCTTCCTCCTCTGTTCCAGCTCCATGGACTGGACAGATAGAGTGATGGCGGGTCCCCCCTCCCCTTCTGGGACTGGAAATGGTTCCAAGGAGTCCCTGCCCACCTCTGAGCAGAGTCTTGGCTGAACCAGAACCTGTGGCCTAAGGAAGAGGGTGAGGCCTTCCGGGTCCTGAGCTCCGTGCCAGTGGGTCATGTCATGCTCCGGCTGTGGGCCACCCCAGTTGCGGGCGCCAAGCTGCCCGGCGCTTTTCTGTGGTTTGACTCTTCAGTCTGCTGAAGCTCTTGATGCTGAAAAAAAGCTTTCTCCTGACAGTGACCTTCTGGAACCCCAACGGAACAACAGGACACCCAGACAGGATCTGCTCTGTGTCTGGGTCTCCGTCAGAAGGGCAGGCTCAGCATCTCTGCCCCTTAGACTGTCTGGGGCAGAGGGGCCACAGCCACTCCCAAGGCATGGTCCTGGGTCCCATGTAATTGAATTGAGTCCTGTAGCACGCTGGCCTCCTTAGTAGGGTTATTGTTAGTTGGAGAAAGTTTGTGCATATCTGGCATGAAATAAACTCTTTGGTTTCCTCAAAGGAATGCAGGTGTTAATGATGTGGAAAGGGGACCTTGGGTGAGCATGGACATTCCCCACAGTGGAATGACCCAAGGATGAAGAACACGTCCCTGGCTCCACCCTGGAGAGGGGCCTAGTGCTGTTTCCCATGGAGCCCCAGCACCCCTCACCACCGCGCTCCCTCCACTCTACCCTGATGCCGCCTGCCTCAGCCTCCCCGCAGAAACTCTTCTGGCAGCTAACCAGCACCCCATTTCCCACTCTGCCCCGCCAGACCTTCCCAGTACTGCCCCCAAATTAACCTCTGTGCTGCGGAAGGCGTTACTCACTCAGAAACCACGGCTTGCCTCTGGCCTGCCCATACTTCCTGCACAGGCTCCTTCTGCTGGGGTTGCCCCCAGGCCCACCTTGCTGATCCCTGGCTCCTACCTTCTGTGTGGTCCCTCCTTCTAGGCATGGTTTCCCTACCCATGGCACATGTAACAGACTCAGAGGGGATCTGGGGACTCCTCAAGAACAGAGAACAGGACTAATGATCTAGGAAAAGGGCCAAATTCTGAAAAGAATGAAATGAACCCAATACACACGCTCTTGCTTGGAACTCTTTATTCCAAGATGATGTTTTCTGTGACATCTGTGACATTTTGTGGCAGGTGACAGAAATCCAAGCTTAGGGCTTTAGGAGGTACACTTCCCTTCATGTATTTATGGTCTACACCAGTGGGAAGGTCAGGAGTCCACTGTCACAACCAGTGAGAGCTTGGGTGCTGTGGACACTATAGCAGACAGCTGAACGAGGACCACGGATATGTAAACGGCTACCAGTCCTGAGCTCAGTGGGGACAGGAAGAGCAGAGTGTACCTTGGAAATATGTTTCTGACATTAGTACACAGAGCTCTAGCCAGTTCTCTTCCTGTGAACTGTAGCGCTCGGAAGCTCTGGGAAAGCCTGCCAGACTTGGGACATGCTTGCGTGTGCCCACGCCCAGCCTCTGTCCCCAGGCAGCAGCCTCTCAGCACACACAAGACTACTTCATCTGCGGAAATCAAGGCTGAGTTCCCAGAGTTGCAGCGGGACAAGGCCCTCACAGTCCTAAAGCTAAGAAATTGGGCCAGAGACAAATCATTAACAGAACTTTGGAAGTAAAGAGCAAGGGATCTCCAAGCTGGAGAGAGGGACGTGGCTTCCCCGGGTCACAGTCCCAAGACATCTCTGGAAGCAGCACCAGTTCGGAAGGGAGAACAGAAGACTGCTGTCCTCAGTCGGGGTCAGAGTCGGGTTCCGAAGAGAGCTGCCCCTCCATGGTCTCGGAAATGGCATCCTGCAGGGATGTCAGCTGACCCCGGGGACTCATCCCCATAGGCTGGATGACTCTGTGCCTGTGAGAAAAGCACGGTGAGGTGGGGAAGGGGCCTGGCAGAGGGTGGTGGAAGTTGTGCTCACCCTGACTACTTCCTAGTGCTCCACCGGGCTGTTTCCGTTTACTGGGGAATCCCAACTAGTACCCAGTGGCTTTGGGACCTTAGTCTTAATTTCTCGAGATCTCAATTTTCATCACCTACGAAACAAACGACATCAATCTCAAGTCTGAGTCTTTCCTGGGGCAATTCCTTTGTTTGAAACCTCAGGAATGCAACCTTGCCTAAGCCCACCTCTGACCCCACCTCTGACCCCACCTCTTGGGGCTCCCAAGACTGGACACAGGCCTGGGGTTCTATTCTCCCTTCTCCCAGCCGTGGGCCCCTCCTTGCCTCACCACGTACCTGGAGAGCTTGTCAAACATGTTCACCAGCTTCATGGCCTCATGCTCCTTCTGCTCCTCCGTCATGCCCTCCATGGGGTTGGGCGGCTTTTCCTCTACCCTCCCGGTCACTGGGTTTATGCTGTTTCCCAGGGGAGGGGGTGCAGGGAATGCATTAGCGACTCTCTAGGACAGGAGGCCGCTGCACAGGGTGGGTAGAGTCCCACACGTTCTGCTTGGGCCTGGACTGGCAAGAAACCCATTCTCCTGGGGGTGGCAGGAAGCCTCCCTCCAGGAGCAGCAGTGGACCAGCTCCTGCCACCTGGATCTCCTGGTCCCCCAACTGCCCAGCCGCCTTCAGTCCGTGTTCTCAACAAAACGTCCTGACATCAGGGTTTATCACTTATGGAATCAGTGCCTAACTCGCAATGTCCTGCCCATCTGTTCTGTCCCACCCGCCCGTGGCTCCATCTGGCTGTGGAAACAGGGACTAGGCTGAGTGAGGGAGCCAAGGGTGTAGGGGCACACACCTGGCCTTGGCTTCCTTGTACTCATCCGTATCCGTGTCCTCGTCCTCCGAGTACTGGCCCTCAGGCCGGCCCCCCGCCATGAGGCCCCTGGCAGCCAGGAGGCCGGCGGCATTCCCGTAGCCCGTGTACTTGATGAACCGGGGCACTGAGGGGCAGGGCAGAGGTCAGTGTGCGAAGGTGGCTGGGAGGGACAGGCGGGGGACTGGATCCCAGCACTCACCACTCTCGGAGCACAGGACGAACAGGAACTCGGCGGCCACTCTCTTGACATCTGTGTCCAGGTGTGTCATGAGGCGAACAAGCTTGTTCCGCAACAACTCGCCAACCTCGGGCCGGGTCCTCACGTCCCGCAGTGGGGGCAGCACCTGGGGAGGCAGCCTGGGCCTGCAGAGGCTGGGGTCTGTGATTGGGGGGGGGGCCCAGCTCCACCCCCCGGCCCTGCCCATACCTGTGCCTTCAGGAACTTCCTGGCAGGCCGGTGCACGCGGGCACACTCGGTCAGCACGCTCAGCACAGGGGCCACGCTTTCCTTCAGCCTGTGTGTCTGCAGAGGAGCCTCTGTCACTGGGGCTGTGTCCCCACCTGACTTGCGGTCAGGGGTGGGGTGGTGACTGATACACACACACACACACACACACACGCACGCACGCGCCCCCCCCCCCCCCCCCCCAAAGGCCGGGTCCCGGCAGGAGGCATTCAGGAAGAGGCCTTGCCACGGTCAGTCAGCTGAGGGGCCAGGAATGGGCAGTGGGGATCTGTGTGAGCTTCAAGAGGGCCACAGCGGGAACTTAACTGAGGAGTGCTCACATGTGTTCTGCGACTTGGGCAAGTCACTCAGCTACGCCACCCTCCTTACCTGTACGCCAAAGTCGTTCATGGCCATTAGCACACCAAGGACACACGACCTGTCCTCAAAAAACAGCGCCCAAAACACAACAAAAATCCCTCCTCTGTGGGCTTCACAGACTCAGACAGCAAAGAGCTGCTGGCCTCCCTCCACTTACCTCCCTGGACCCTAAGCCTAGCAGCAGTCGCGGTAGGGACAGTCACAGACATCACATTCGACGCACGTGACTCCGCTCCCAGCACGCACGAGCAACATGGGTTCCCAAGGGGTCCACCCAGTCTCACTGCAGTGCGGGATGCAGCCTGCGTGATGTCTGCGAGCTCCCAGAGGAGCTGGTCAGAGGTCTGGCCCCCAATGTCCTGGGTGCAGGAGCCTCTGGCTCAAGATGCCTCTGAGTCCCCTCAGGGACGCCAAGACGCAACTGCTCATTCCCAAGAGCTGATGAATGTCGCAACACTGACTCTTAGGCCACAAGCAAGGACTCAAAAGACATCCACAAAGGGCTGTAAAAAGTAAGTTCTTTGTTTGACTTAGAAAACTCATCACGATAACGAGAAAAAATAAAACCCGCAAGAGCATGTGTGTGTCTGCATGCATGTGAGAGACAGAGAGAATATGCGCACGCACGCACGCACGCGCCCCCGTTTCTCAGGGTCTGCCAAGCTGGACCACAGAGCAGCCGCAGAAATCACCCAAATCACCCTGCCAGGCTGATCTCCACTCTGCAATGTGGACTGTTAAAGCAGCGACCATGGCTGCCTGGGAACGTCAGAGCCACTGAGGAGCCCCCACATCAGGTCCCTCTGCCCACCTGGTGCAGACGCTTCTCCAGGAAGCTGAGGAGAACACGAATCACATCCATGTTGGCTCCCAGGAACTCCAGGGAGCCTTCTCGCGGCTCCAGGGTAAGCAGAACATCCAGACACTTAAGGGGCAAGTTCCCCAGGAGATTCACCGCGTGCCTGAGGACAGACGCGGAAGAGACCTTGCTGAGTCCGATCCCCAGTGTAGGTACAACCCTTGATGCCCCCACAGAGGCCACACATGACAGGAACTAGTGACTGGGGGCTTGGTGACAGGAACCAGAGCCCAGAGCTGACGCCAACACTGACCACGGCAGTGTTTCCACTTGGTGGGGTGAGCTCCTAAGGAAGGGGGCACTGTCTGCAGATGCCCTCCCTGCCAGGCTCTGTCTGGGCTGAAGCACCGCAGACCATCTCTGGAAAACTAGAACCTGCCTAGGCACAGGTCATGGAGACGGAGAGGAGGAAACACGCTACCCTGTAAGCACAGCACCACTCGTCACTACTGCTCCGCTTCCAGAGAGACGTTCCCATCCTCAGATCCGTACCCCTCGTCTTGGCCACATGCTGACGTCGGTCCCAGCCAGGGCTGGGAACCGCTCGGCAGACACACGAGCACACCTCCCTTCCATCTAACAGGCCCCCCTCACCCGTGGAACTCCTCCGTGCGGTCTCCAGCAGCAGCGACCATCACACAGTGCCGCAGGATGGTCCCCAAGTGCCGGTAACGGGCAGCATCTTCCTGACCGAAAAGAAAGGGGTTCCCGTGAGGGGAAGCCCCACTCCGGGGTCACGTACACGGACCTCGACTCTCCTCTCCCGCACACCTCACCCTGTCCTCTTCTACACACCCTGACGACATTTCCTCGATCCAGTGTAGGTCCTCTCAGGACAAAGTCACAGTGCACTCCAGCCCCACGCTCATGGCCTCCCCGTGCCCCAAACGCCCTCCTGCCAGGCTGCAGGAGCCATACAGCCACACACACTCCATCTATCTTAGAAACGTTCTTCGGGCCCTCTGCCCACAGTGTGCATCTCCTCGCCTCCTCCGGACAGGCTGAGAACTCCACTGTCCTCTCCCCATCAGATACCCGGACACCCGCAGGCAGGTGCCCTCCAGGCAGAGAGAGCCAAGAAGCGCCCACACGGTGAAGCCCTGTAGGTGCAGGTCCGTCCTCACCTCGTCCACCTCCCTCTTGATGGAGTCAAAGGTGATGTTGAACAGCACTTTGAGGATCTCCATGGCCCGCTCAGTCTCCTGGGGAGGAAGGAGCTCCGGCGGGCTCTCCCCCGGGATCAGTCCCAGGGTCAGCTGCAGCGCGTCGGTCAGCAGGCGCACCCCCTGCAGGTCCCGAAACAGCTGCTGCCGCACGTCCGTGCGAAGTGCCGTGAGCAAGAACAGGAGGCGCAAGTCAAAGAACTGGACGTCGTGCGGGAAGCTGGTCTGGTGGCCCAGCCCCACGCGCTCTGCCAGCCTCACCACCAGGCGGGCCTCTGCCGCCAGCACCTGCGCCACAGGGCTGCTGAGCACGAGGTTGCACAGGCACTTGAGGGACTCGAGGACAACGTCCACGTCCCGAGGCTCGGGGACCGACTCCTCCAAGGCGACGCCGGCATAGCGGGCAAGGGCCTGCAGGCTCTGGCGGCTGGTGAAGGGGTCCAGGCAGCTGCGGTCCCGGGACAGGATGCGGATGCTCTGCAGCCAGGTGACGCGGCGGGAGGGCGGCAGGCCCCGCTCCAAGACCGAGCCCAGCAGCTCCGCCAGCCTCTGCGGGCAGGGAGAGGAGCAGCTCCAGCAGGCCCCTTCCCTGGGCCACCCACGCCTGCCCCTTCCCCCCGGTCCGCACCCACCTTCCGGTCCTGCTGCTGGGCGTCCTCAAACGTGAAGCTCTGGGAGTTCTGCGCGGAGACGCGGGCGCTCAGCGGGTGGGGGCGCGAGGGCACAAGCCCCCTGGGCCGACAGCGCACACCGGCCCTCGGGGTGTGCACCCAGCCTCTCCCCGCAACTCCTCACGGCGCGGCGCGCGCTCCGCCGCCCGCCCCTGGCCGCGCACACAAGCTCAGGGCCGGCCACGACGCGGGCCCCGCCCCTCCCCTCCCTGGCGAGGACCCCGTTCGCGGCCCTCGCTCACCTCCCGGTTGTACGTGCGCAGAGCCTCCATAATCACGTCCTCCTCCCCCGCCTCCACAGCATCCGCAACCACCCGGGGCTCCATGGCGCTCGCGGGCTCCCGCGCCGGGCAGGCGGGAGCGGCTTCGCTCAGCCGCTCCCGGCAGTGTCCAGCCGCCCAGCTCTGGCGCGCGGGGGAAGCCCGGACCGTGCGCGCCACGCCGCGGGGGACGCCGGGACCGTGCGCGCCTCGCCGCGGGGCGGGGCCAGGGCTGCGCGCGGAGGACGCCGGGACCGGGCGTGCCGCGCCGCAGGGAAGGGCCAGGGCTGCGCGCGGGGGACGCCGGGACCGTGCGCGCCTCGCCGCGGGGCGGGGCCAGGGCTGCGCGCGGAGGACGCCGGGACCGGGCGTGCCGCGCCGCAGGGAAGGGCCAGGGCTGCGCGCGGGGGACGCCGGGACCGTGCGCGCCTCGCCGCGGGGCGGGGCCAGGGCTGCGCGCGGAGGACGCCGGGACCGGGCGTGCCGCGCCGCAGGGAAGGGCCAGGGCTGCGCGCGGGGGACGCCGGGACCGTGCGCGCCTCGCCGCGGGGCGGGGCCA